ACCCTGTTGCTCAAAAGTCCCTTCAGACCTTAAATTTCCTTAAATCTTTTCATTAAGTCTGAACAATTATTCTGTGCATTCTATATATTGGATTGTTTTTTCTTTAAAAAGGTTAAATCCCTACTAGCACTGTAAAATTTTTAATCACCTGGACATTTTTTGAAAGAAGAATATCTTGCAACTTTCAGTAGTGCATGGTGAGATCTGTAAAAATGCATGTGTTTCTAGCAGTTCTTTTAATCTTTCATCTGCACTGTCTTTAAAGTGGCAGCAATTCATAAAAAAACATGAAGACCTTACCACTCTTATTCTCTTCCTACACTTAGGCAACTCCTGAATCCTACAGCTTCTGTTACAATTCATTTTTCAGTAGTGAGGTACACTTTTTTACAGATACTCAACAAAATTTTTGACAATGTATCTCAGTCTTTTCATTTTTCTAGCAGAAAAAAATTAGAATCAGTAAAATTAATTTCACTTAGCATCAGTTATCACAAAGGAATGCCTGGAATTTCTTATCCCCTTTCCTATTCAGAGAATGCCTGTGTACACTGTTTTTACATACTTCTCTTTATTTTGTGGTTGTTCATTGATTCATGAGTCCCTGAGAAGCATTGTCTGTATATAGTTTTTGAATACCCTTGAAAATAACTGAACATGTTCAGAGGTGTAAATTGATGTACAAATATCAAAATAATATTTATTAAAAATGTTCTCTTTCTTTCAACCTAAAAAATCAAACCAAACAAACCCAAAACATCACTGCTATGCTATCTTGGGGCAGGTTTGGAAGACAGGTTTCATACATTCTCATTTGGAAATACAAACTTTCTTGGTTTCTCCATTTCATTTTGTAACTAACTACTCATGGGGAATATACTTTCTTGCTTCTTCCTACTCTTCTGTTAATCCTGCTTAAGCATAGAAACACAGGTGAAAATCCTCAAATGCTATGCACTAGAGAGTCTAAATCTGGAGCAAATAGACACCATGGGGAAGAAAACACCTTAAACTATTTTCTAGGAAATGTGTTGCTAAGGCTGTGTTGAATGCAAATGCAAGAGGAAACTGCAGCAGGAGAAACAGAGTGCACGTTCTGTGTATCACTGGCCAGGGTAATAGCCTAGGTAATTTACAGTACTCTTTGGAGGATGGATAACTTAAACTCCATTTTTCTCTTAACTATCAGACCAAACACATCCAAAGGTGTTTGAGGAACCGGCTAGTGTCACTGCTGGATTCTCCTTATCATACGTGACAAGACATGTTGTCTGCGAGAGTCTTTCATATCTGGAAAACAGTAAATGTTGTGCACATCTACAAAAAGAATGAGGAGGATCTAGGAACCTACTTGGTAGTCAGCCACATTGTAATCCCTGGGAAGGTAACATTTCCACAGAAGCCAGTTGCAGGCACATGAAGGACAAAAACATTTTGGGGATCAAACAACACATAATTACCAAAAGGCAAATCATGTTCTACCACAATCTCATTGTCACGTACAATGAGATGATTGATTCTGCGGATAGAGTATTAGATACAGCTTGCTCTGACCTTAACAAAGTTTAGACAGTCTTCCGCAGAAGGTTTTATCCCAACACCTAAGTGTGAACTGAATGGGTGGAATACAAGGTGGGTACGAAGGACAAAAATAAATGCAGAGTCCTGCTCCTGGATGTGGCACTTAGTGCCACGGTCTAGTTGACAAGGTGGTGATCAGTCAGAGGTTAGACTCCATAATCTCAGAGTCTTTTCCAACCTAAATGATTTTGTGATCCTGTGAGATGATAAAATCCCAAATCAAACACTGGCTGGAGGCCAATGCTACAGAGTAGCTTTGCAAAAAAGAACCCAGGGGTCCTTGCAGATAACAAATTGAACATGTGATAGGAGGATGCCTCTGTAGTGTGGGGGGCTGAGCACTTACTGGGCAGCATTAGCAAAAGCACAGCCAGCAGATCAGAGGTGAGATTATCAGATCCTTGCAGGTCAACATCTACAGTACTGTCTCCAGTTGAGCACTCAAGAGTAGAAGAAAAAGATTCACAAACCCGAATGGGCAGGGGATCATCAAGAGGGTTAAAAGGCATATAATTTATGAGGAGAGGGTAAGAGAGAGACTGTCTGTTTGTTCAGACAGAAAAAGAGAAGGATAAGGATGATAGTGGGGTATTAATTACTGTTTCCAGTTACTTAAAGCAGAGTTATGAAGAAGATTGTCAGACTGTTCTTGAAAATGTATAGTAAAATGGTGAGAGACAATGGTTGAAAGTTTTATCAAGTAAAATTCTGAATGGACATAAAGACAAAAATATGCCACAGCGAGGAGTTAAGCACTGAACTTACCTAGAGGGTCATTTCTCTGAGATAAGAAAGATTTGACTGAACATTGTGCTAAAAATCTACCTTGGACATTAGTCTTCTTCCAAGCTAAAGAATCATCTCCGATGGTGTCTTCCAACCTAAATTATGTTTTGATCCTTGCAATGAAATAATAAGCAGGAGTGAAGTATGAAAAGCCAAGTACAGACTCCCGACTTCATTCACTGAGATGAAAACAGCAGCACGCCATCAGTGTATTGTATTTCTCTCTGCTAACTAAAGAATCATAGAATTAACTGGGTTGGAAGAGACCTCCGAGATCATCAAGTCCAACCCTTGAACCAACCCCACTGGGATTACTAGATCATGGCACTCAGTGCCACATCCAGCCTCGTCTTAAAAACCTCCAGGGACGGTGAAACCACCACCTCTCTGGGCAGGCCATTCCAATGCCTGATCACTCTCTCTGGAAAGAACTTCTTTCTAATATCCAACCTAAACCTCCCCTTGCAGAGCTTAAGCCCGTGTCCTCTTGTCCTATTGCTGATAGCCTGGGAGAAGAGATCGACCCCCAGGCTACAACCTCCTCTCAGGTAGTTGTAGAGAGTGATGAGGTCACCCCTGAGCCTCCTCTTCTCCAGACTAAACAACCCCAGCTCCCTCAGCCTCTCCTCATAGGACTTGTGCTCAAGTCCCTTCACCAGCCTCGTTGCTCTTCTCTGGACCCTCTCCAGCACCTCAATATCCTTCCTGAACTGAGGGGCCCAGAGCTGAACACAATACTCAAGGTGTGGCCTCACCAGCGCTGAGTACAGGGGAAGGATCACTTCCCTGCTCCTGCTGGCCATACTGTTCCTGATCCAGGCCAGGATGCCATTGGCCTTCTTGGCCACCTGGGCACACTGCTGGCTTATGTTCAGCTTCCTGTCAATCAGCACCCCCAGATCCCTTTCAACCATGAGGATAATAATAAATGTGCATATATTAGAGGGTGGGGTGGCGTCATACAGGCACACAGAACTACGCAATACTGAAGAACTGGACAAAAAGTAACACATAATGGATTTCACATTTCCAGTACAGTAAATCCAGATATAGCTCTACAACTTCTTAAAGAGAAGGCAAACACCACCTTGAACCAGAAATATTCCAATTATTCATTACAGGAGACCGCAGGTTTGCAGGGGAGATATCAGTGAAGAATAAATAGTTATCTTAGGATGTAGTCAACAAAAAGCTTTCTGAAATTATGTAGTAAATTGCTTTTAAGTTTGTACAGTCCAAATCAGTTATGCAGCACTTCTGCACAACACCAACTCAAAACATAAATTTTTGGCACCCATTCAAATCTTTTGATTCTGTCCATTCCATTGACAATGCTCTACAAATAATTTATTGACAATAATCCCACATAAAATTTACAATATCCATCTCCCTGTGTCTGCAAAGCATCCAAGGATAAAACACACTGTATTTCATTTCTTCATCTCTCATGTTTCCGAATGGTAATGAAACAATGCCCTTTATTTTCCTCCATCCTTGGGAAGGAATACAGGAGCGGGGGCGGGGGGAAGGGGGGATGTGATCCCCAGATTAACACAACCAACCAACTTCTGGGGTTTTGACAGGATGAGGAGAGAGGAATAAAGGTAGTTTGGCTGCTCTAAAGCATTCCTCACTTCCACCCAGACCCACACGCAATGCTGAATCTGTGACATTCAGGAAAGGAAGGAGAAAAGTTTCTCCAGGTCTCCCATTAGCCAGATTCTTAGAAGAAGTCTTGCTCTATAACCCTTTCCCTAAGTCTTGCTCTTATTTGTGAAGGTACTTCAATGGATCCAACAGCCATTCCAATGGAATCAGTACCTTGTCACACATTAACTTCTATTATCGTAAAGTTGTTGTCAGCCTGACAAGATTCCTGGTTTTGAAGTTAAGAAATACATATTTTTTTCTTAGGGCAAAGTTGTTGGGTTTTTGTTTGTTTGTTTGTTTGTTTTCTTTTTTTTCAGTGAGCCCAGAATTTAATAATTTAAATTTACCAGTCTGTCACACTTAGTGACTGGCCTTCAATACAAACTGAGGTATCAAGGTCCAGAAATTAGGAATGAAAAAATTCAAGAGATGGCTGCTGAACACTAGTATTTCAGAAAAAAGGAAAGATTAATTTTCCAGATGTAGGATCCCTCATGATGTACTCCTAACCATTCTTACTAAAAAGGTATGAAAATATTCAGAGGTGAGTTGAATTTTAAGGACTTGAGTGAAGACAGTTAATGTGAGTAGTGGTCACTAAGCACAGACAGTTTTATAGTCTATTGGCTTTAGTGAAGCACAGTGTAGCACATGAACTAACAAGAAAATGCCAAAGATTCAATAAAAGTCAAAGTTCAACACCAAATAAACTCAAAAGCCTACTTCAAAAATTTGTTTCCTGCATCATTTACATAAGATAACTCTCCTTGTACATAAGATGTGAATAATAGCATTTATTGAACAATATTCTTATTAAAATAACATTCATCCTATTCTTAAATCAACATTTACCAAACAATAAAAAACATACATTTCATTTACCTTCATAATTCTTTCTAGATGATGCAAACTCCTGATCAGAGCTACAGTACTTTATGGGTGGATTTTTTAAAAATCTAGTTGCAAAACAGGGAAAAACCTACCTCAGTGGTGCTACTGGGAGGTTCCAGTCCAATCATATTGGCCTGTACCAGCTGATGAAGAAGTTGTACTTGAGCCACACTGAGGAAGAAATCCAGGTTTGTTGTCACATTCACCTCCAAAGAATGACCACAGACCAAAATTTCCTGTGGAGAAATTAAGGGAAAATTCTAGATAACAGCTATTTGGAAAATAATTTTTAGCTTCTATATAATTGTATTGTGGTTCTCTGCTGCAGTCAATACTTCAACATTACATATTGTACTAATTTGGTCTTTGTAAGAGAAATTGGTGTGTCAGGCTTCTAAAGGATGCGGCTTATTCTTTGCTTTGCTTTCAACAGCATAAGTATTAAGACAAATTTTGCAAGAAAAGTATCTTGTGCACAAGGTCCTGTTTCCATCTCTTGGTAGGGCTGTCAGATTTTGGGTTTTACTTCCTTGGCAATTATTCCAATTCTCCTTTTCTTCCAAGAAAAGGATGCAACTTTTATTTTTTTTAAAACACAAACTCTGCTTGATTTATAATGAAATCATGTGTTGGAACTCACTGATAACCAATCTAATTGATTTCTCTTTGCCTGTAAGCCACTGTTAATACCTTGGCAAAGCTAGCTGGATAGCCACTGTTTTATTGGTGTTATCTAGCTCAAATAAAGCCCTTCAACACTGTTGGCAAGCAATAACGAGATGAAAAACAGAACCAGTGCAGAAGGATTATTTACTAAGTAGAAGCACTGCTGTGTCTCATGAGAAGCTTGCACAATGTTCAAGCTCTTCATAATCTAAACTAGACCTCTCCCTTCATCAGGGAACATCATCCAGGGAATAGATAACAAGAAGAATGCATGTACAGAAACCACTGAAATTCTTGAACATAAGCATTAGTAAAGCTCAGATTTTTTTAAAAAATGGAATAACTTCTATGCATCCTATTCGTCCCTAAGCTTTCTATTTCTTTTTTACATTAAATAATTTTCTATTTGCCCTTGTGATGACCCTTTACACAAAATATGAAGCTGCCAATTCCTTTGAATGCCCACTAGCTATTATTTTCCAACAATGTACTCCCACTGCATGTTGCAATACACACGTAATGCCCTTCACACTTCTGTACCAGTTTTGCCCTTTTGAGGAGGTAGCTGTTAAGAGAAACGATCTTACGAGCTGACAAAAATTTTCTGATGTTTCCCTTATATAAAATGTTCTTGAGCTACAAAATAATGCTAAAAAGGTAGCCAACATCTTTTCTGTGTAATTTCTTTCACAGACTAAACAATAACAACCTGACCCACAAACAGACAAAAGTGATTGTTAAATCTGGAGTACCTTGAAGTACCCACAGAAATGACTGGGAGGCAGATGCTTTGTAGCAATCTCTGGGCTTGGAAATATGGCTAAAAGAGCTCAGCTCAACTTTCTTCTTATAGATAATCTATGGATTGCATTTCAGGTTTCTTTACAAGAAGCTTGTGAAGCTTGTTTTATAATGGTGTACTGTAGCAGCTCTTCTCAACATTTTTCCATCACCAACTTTTAAAAAATGTTGCTGGAAATTGTTAAAAGATTCCCGTTTTTGAATTGCAAATAGGTTTATCTAGCTCTAGACAGACTACCTTTAATATCAAATGCTATACACAAATTCTTTCTCCAGCAGAGAAAGAACATTTCAGCTAGTGACCTTTTCCTAGTTGGCAAACTCTGTATTTGAAAACATACTTGGACACTTCCAATGGTGGAATGGTAGAATATTAAGATTATCCACATACTAAAAGTTATGCTATTTCTGTTGATATTTTGTACTGACCTCTGGGTGTAAATTCTCTGCAGCATCGATTTTGGTAAAAATAATCGCAGGAGCTGCAGTTATTCGGACAGTGAAATCTGTTAAAATTGGAGTTAGAATAGCTCTCCTTTCCTGATGCCGCCTTATGCTAGAAAAGAGGAAAGAAAGATGGAATTACATTATAAATTGTCAAGGGGCAAACTTCCCATATTATTCTTTACATACAGCATGTAGAACAAAACTTCTTCAATACCAGTTTGGTATTTAATTGTTACCTAAAAATTCATTAAGTATCATTATCATAAGTCATGCTAATTCCAATCCTGAAGGTAAACTTCTACCTTCATTTCACAGGAAAAGTATGTCTAAATATTTCATTCCACAACCTATCTCCAGGTAGACAAGTTTGACACTTGGCACTGCTTCTTCTCCTGTTTAACACAGTATACTCAATAACTTTTAAAAAGATGTGAACTTCATTATCAGTATTCTCCGAACTTGCCTTTCACTTTATAAATAGCTGTCCTGAAGCCTTCATAATATTTGAACTCATGCATTAAAACTCTTCACTGAAAAATTCTGCACACAACATAACCAACACAAAAGAAATACATGAAAAATTAAACTAGCAAATCCCACGCACTCTAGGACTCATACATTAAATTTAAAACGATTGGCTAAGATGTTTTAAATGACTGGAAAATGAAAGGATGTCAGTCTTTCTCCAATGCTTCTGTCTTGTTCTGGTTGTTCTTAGTTGGTACCTTTCCACCTAAATATAAACATTTACTTACCAAGAGTATTTGAGCCATTAAACTTGATAATTGCATTTGTTTTCCAGTTGGGTATTTAGTTTCGGGTTTTTGTTGGGGTTTTTTGTGGTGTTTTTTTTTTTTGGTGGGGTTTTTTTTTTTTTTTTTTTGGTTTGGTTTTTTTTCCCCCTTTTAACCAAATGGTAAGCCTAGAGGCACAACTATCCATAGATGGATCACTAATAGATTATGACAACACATTCCAAATAGCCAGAATCTTCTGGGTCAGGTCAAATAAACTATTGGCACAAAATGCCATCTGAGAGCCTCTGATGAGGGAAAAAAATGAGATCAAGATGGTGTTCAGCCTCTAAAAGAGGACACAGTTCAAATTCCTGGGAGATCCCTTCCATCAAGGTAGGTAAAAAGAACTATCAAAAACTATTATAATTTGCAGAAACATTAAATAACTGCATTTCACCAAGGAGAACTCTGAAAAGCATAAAAAGTTATTGGTCTGATGTAAGTTTTCCTATGCTTACAAAATAGAAAATTAGCAACTATGAAATGATGCAATTTAAGAGATCAAACTACAGTGCCCTAGAGAAGAAGAAGATAGATCTATGCAGAATTCTTCATCAGCATATCAGTTACACTTCTGTATTACCTTGAATCTTGCCATGTCCAGTGATGGACTACCATCTTACCTTAATTAAAAGCTTTAACATTTTGGTCAGCTGTAGCTGTGTTGACCTCTAATGATGGCTTTTAAAGGAAAGTTAGTCTACTTAGAACCCCAAACTAGAAAGTAGACCTGATAGTGGTTAGTTAACATCTTCAACTTGAGAAAATGGTCTTAGATTTTGGAGTTCTACAAATGTTTCTCTCCCTGCCATCACCTAAATTTCAGATTTAAACCAGATGCCTTTCTACCCAATTCCTATTTCCCTTTCTCAACAGGATAAGAAAGAAATTCCTTTTGTTGAGGAAAATGAAAAAGCAAAGTAGTAGAAGAATTCTGTGAAAGAATACACATTAGAAACCTTCCACTTGAAGCGGCATAAAAATGCTATTATGATTTAAATGATGAAAGAGAGCTGTAAAAGCAACTTACTTGTACTCCAAAACCTCAACTGGCTCTCTTCAATCATTGTTCAAATTATTTTCCAGCTCATGCATATTCCCATTTTTTTAAGTTTCATATGCCATTTTAGTAGATACCCAGTACACTGCATCTTAAAGGCCTTTTTTTTGGCAAGATATATTGATTAGATATTTATTTTATTTTTTAAATCATCCTTGAGTGCTACCCCTGACCTACTCTACTTACTACTTTCTGCATTTCTTGTTGGTGAATTTGAACCTCAGTCAAATCAAGTATTAGCAAAATAATTGTGAGTATAAACAGAAGGCAAACAGAGCACAGTAAATAATGAAGGGAAAGGATATGAGAAAGAGCAGAAAAGGAACAAAGAAACAAATTCCACTTTGAATTATTAAGTCTTCCACACTGCACCTAAGCGCAACGTTAACTTAACACAGGTGTACGCCACATGAGCTTATGAAAAAACTTGATTGTGAAGAGCGTAATGATGGCTCTATGTCTGCAGCACATTCATTCCATGGTTCATTTATGCATCTGTTATATATTTGTCTTGGAAAAAAAAAAGGAAAAGCTAGTATTTTTAGAGATGTTAAAGCAGTTGATCATGTACACTTAAAAGTAAGTGCATTTGAAAGACCATATGCTAACGCAAAGCAACAAGGCAGTTAAGCAATTGTGATAAGGCCTGGAGGTGCCTTAGTGCTGAATTTGGGCTTTATCGGCACAATAACATGAACTCTGATTATAGACCACAGATCCACATTGTAAAAGCACAGGATGAAAACGGTCTCTGTCCTCCAAGGCAGAGGCAATTTAAGTATAAGAAAAAACATACTCACAGACAGGGAAGTAAACCAAAGCACTATCAGCACCATAGGTAATGATATCCAGTGGCAACCTGTCTTATGAGTTTTTATATTACAGTATAATAGAAAATAATTTTTTTGGAAGAAAATACGACAATAACTCTGTGAATGTTCACAGGAAATGCCTTTACAATACACAGGTTACCCTAGGAGTGAGCAAGGAAGTGCTTCTTCGAAGAGTTGAATGAGGCAGTAACTGCTACGATGAGGTCTGATGAGCAGTGAGTGTAGAGATGCCAAAGCAAATGAAAGAAAACACATAAGGGGAAATGGATAGACCTAGAGGCCTGAAAGTACCTTGAAAGCAATGGCATATCTAATGATTAATATGACAAAAAATGTGGGGAGAGAAAAAAACTGTGAAGAATGGAATTTTGCAATGGATGCAACAACATTTGATTACATCAAATCAAATCATCAGTGTTTGATTATATCCTCTCAGAAGCATATTGAGCTCATACAAGGAGGAAAAACTGCCAAAGAGATGATGTTGCACTAATTAAGGAGGGGCGAGGATGTGAGACTGGATAAGTTGAGAAAATGCACAAGTAGGATTATAAGTTTGCTTCTTATGTGGAAAACACTAATCAAAACAAACAAACAAACATTGCCACTAACAGCTAAACATAACCTAGATGTAAAACTTGGAAATGTTTACCTAATTATGTATTTTTTAAGTGATACCTTATTGAATCTAGAGTTTGAGACCTTATATACTTAAAAATTCATAGATCAAGAAGAAACTTGTATACATTCAATATATGAATGACAACTGAGCATGTTTGCACCATGTAAATTTACTACCTGTGTAAATTTACTAAATTTACACAGAAAGATGACTTCTCATGGAAAATTTTGTGATGTTAAAAAGAAAAAAAATGTATTGGCATGAAATAGGCCATATAATCAAAGTGATCTCTAGTAGTGTGAGGCATACAAAACCTCAAAAGATGTTACTTATGTTAGCATATTAATTTAGGACTTATAAAAGATTTTTCTCATGCAGATTTCCCATGTAGTTGTATAAATCAGTTAATCTCTGATTCACAATGTATTAGGATATCTGGCTATTAATGAGTCATTAACATCCTTTCAGCTCTCCGAGGTGTTGCAAAGACATGTTGCGGAACAGTAAAATAGCATAGCAATATTTTAAGGACTATTTAATGACCGAAATTCGATAACAAACAAATTTACATCATCTGGCTGTACAGAATTACTATTTTTATAATATATTGCTCAGTAAAGCTAATTTTCATTATATTAAGAATGCCGTGTGACATTTCTTTGCTGTGGATTAACATAAAAAATAACATGCTCCGTCTTATTGAGTAAGGCTTTGTACAGTATGAATACAAGCCCAAGTTCAGGTACAACGGAAGCAACTACAATACAGCACTGAATAAAAATGCATTGCATTTTATTTCAAAATATTCAAGGGAATGCCCTTACTTCCATACACATGGATCTACAGATCAGTTTTTTCTGGTCCTTCTTATTAGAACTTGGCAAGCTGCCAAGAACTTTCCAAAAAAGCATGAAAATGAAAACTATTCAAAGCAAAATCTGCAGGAAACCTTTCTGAGGATCCTTGCAGTGGTATTTTGCTCAATTTTGGACAACTGATCATTGGCTCCCTGATGCACTCAACGAGAGTCCCAGAGAGCTGTTCCAGATGGTGGTATGCCAAGGACAAAACTGTAACACAGTATATTGCCACACTCAATTCATTACCACACAGAGAAGTAATGCTTTTAAGCTCAATTATTATTATTTTTTCTAAACAGAGTTTATTCAGGCTGCAGGAAGCAGAAGTTGCTGCTGGGAGCTGTAGAAGGACGGCACAGGGATGGGGGCGAGGCCTCAAGAGAGGATATATTTCTTGATTTCCTTCAGGGCTGTTGTTTTTTCCATTGAGTGGAAGGAGAGGGAGGAGGAGATCTGCAAGCTGAAAAAGCAGTTTTCAATCAAGAAAACTTCTTTTGGTTAAGTACTCCCAGTTCCCCACATGCTGTTTGGTAAAGGGAATAAATGTGGACAGGTTTCATTTGTACATAACCTTATTAGAACTGTCTGACTGTTTCCAGTATTCTTTTTATATATTACACCATTAGGGAGCTTTTTATAACATCTACAGTGAAGTATAAACATTTCATAATGGAAAGAGTTATGATCCCTGATCCTCAGTACAGCAGGGCATTTGGACATTTTCTGTGAGATAGCATCCACACTACCAGAGTTTCCCAGTTCCCCCATTCTTCTTGGGGTGACCTGCAGAGACACAGGAGGCATCACTCCAGCATTCACTATCACCCCTCTTGAAGAATTTTACACTAAACATCTTCAAGTATTCAACAACTTAGTGTCAAAGTATGGCAGCTTGCTTTCCAAACTACAACATAAAGGTTGAAAAAAAAAAAAAATCATCCCCATGGGATATTAAGTACTAGAAGTACTGAATTCCAGAAAAAATGGTGGGAAAATGTGAAGATTTAAATGATAAATAATGCCAAAAACCTTCAATTATTTGTGTGATATCCATAGATCTTTTAGTTAGAATGATTTGGTTTTCATGCAAATTTTTAAAGTGAGACCAGATTTCAACCCAGTAGACTAAATTACAACATAATTTATTTCAGAATTTTTGAGACTTAATTTTGAAATAATGTTTTTGGAAATGGGAATGGAAAATGAATGGCTGGTATCTATTCTGAAGTTTTCTGTAAAGTAACTATGAAATACTTGGATAAAGACTGGATTCTGTATTGCCCCACATAGCACCTAAGAACTAAAAAAATGAGAAAAAGGATTTCCAAAAAGGATCTGTACACCAGGTGATCCTAATACAGCATAGCACTGGGTAAAAACAAATAGAAGTACATTAAAACCAAATAAAGAAATTAACCCTAAACTAATTCGGCAAAAATAATTCATCTATTATTCAGTTCTAGGTTTAACATGTTTAAGGAACTTAAAGAAATAAAACAGAAAATGGTATCACAATAAGGTTAAAGAACAAAGCCTCTGTGATAGTTGCAGGAAATCTTAAGGTAAACTTAATCCCTTACTGAAAACAGTAAGCACCATGTAAAACATCATGCAGCCTCCCTCTTGGTGCATGCTGGAAATACTGCAGTGGATGGCAGAGTTCAGTGCAGGTTCTTCCAGTTCTCATCACAGCACTTCCACAGATCATAAAATAAAACCAGACACAGAAAAACTGACTGCCAAATAAAAACCAAAATGGGAACATCCTGAAAAAACTGCACTAAATCTGTAAAATTTAAAGCTAAAAGGACAAGAAAGCACTCATACTTTTTCTTGAAAACAAATTCAAGCTGGAATTAAAATACTGTAATTGCATACCAGAAACGAAAAGCTAATGTATTTAATTCCAACTGATATAAATTAAAACCCAAGTAGATGATGCATTCAAAAGCAATTTTAAAACCCACATACTTATTTGTCAAATACATTCTAATGACATTTTATTTTGGAAGTCTGGTGAGGAAAAGAAGAATGTCCAAGCAGTTACAGAAAAAAAAAGAAAAAAAAAAAAAGGAAAAAAAAAGAAAAAAAGAGAGAACTCAGATTGTCTGTAATAGCTGCTTCCCTTATGTTATTAGCTTTTCAGGAATCCCACCAAATTTCCTATCTAAATCTATAACCATAAAGTTCAGACCAAAGTGTGCTGGCAACAGGGTTTCAGTCACCAGTGGGAAGGAAAACGAAAGCCATCTCCTCAGTGGCTGGTTTTGCTATGTTAGCTTAACTTGCAAATTGGCCACAAGTCCTTTGGAGATCATTATAATCGTATTTTTCAAGATATTCCAGTGGACACATGTAATTTTGTGACAAAGAACTTCGTGAGGAACTTGTCCAACCTGAAGGCCTGACTAGGAGGTCATAGACATTTTTAAGGCTAAGAATTTAAAATAAAAAACATGTTTGGAATTATGAGTTTAAAAAATAATAAGTAAATAGTTAAAAGGCAAGAAAGAACCACATGATCTTATAAATGAAGAACAGAAACTATTACTGTGTTTAAATTTTTATCGATACTGCTGTCACTCCTTGCGGTTTTATCATTACTTAGGTTAGATCTGCTTTTCCTGCCTTCTACTTTCAATGATAAACTGGAATTTATTATTGATCACAGCTTTTTCCTGCATGCTCTCCTCCAGAATGAGCTTATTTGCCCTCTTGACCTTTCATCAATACATCACTTACAAAGCTCAGTCTGTGTGCCATCCTCATGTAGCCTTTGCTACAGATTGCCTCGCTTTCAGAAAAATCTGAGTCCTCTCATCTCCCCTTTTTCAGAAAGTTAAACCAAAAATAGTTATTTCATTATGATTCTGCTTGTTTTTCTATATTAGTTTTAGGAACTCATCCTTCAATTCAGATAGGAATCCTGTCTTAGGAACCAAAAAATTATGCATGCATTTAATAAAAATTGGATTATTTCTGCATGAATTAGATATAAATATATATAAATACATAAAACTTAGATATAAATGAAAATAAATAACTGAATGTGTAGGCAAAGAGGCATCTCCAAGCAGAAACACTTGTAAATCCATTAAACTACTTTCGAAAGCTTGCTCTTGGCCATCAGATCTTATTCCTGTTGGACTGCTAAACAGTCTGTAAAAATTCAGTTTTAAACTACTTGGATGAATTCTTAAGTAGAAAAAATTACATTACAACTAAAATAAAAATTTCAAATCATCACAAATTACCAATTAACCCCCCCTACTTTATATTTGAAAACTTTAAAATTTAAAACAGCATGCAAGTGTATGCATGCTGAATCTCTCAACCCTGCTTAAGCAGAGGGTGGGGCTTTGCGTGCACATATCATACAATAAACAATAAAGGAGACTTAGTTGAAATATCTCATTCTCAAAATTCATCTGGTTTTAGTTACAGAAGTGCAAAAAACAGTTCAGAATCAATAGGAAATGTTCTACTTTATCCTCCACTAATTTAGAAATGTCTAAGCTGGTTTTACTCAAGCTTTGTTAAATTACAAACAAAAGAAGTTTAAAAAAACCCAGAAAAAACAACACCAACAAAAAAACCCAAACCAAAACCTCCCATCGCTTGTAGAGACTGAGAAGCTGAAGCCTCAGCCCTGGGGTTATTTTTATGGCCAGACAGTAAGTCACTCAGGGAAGAACTTATAATGGAAGCAAAGGCACACAAGAACTGGAGAGTAACTACAGTAACAATAACAGTAATATGCAATTCAAATGTGTAATCGAAAACTCCATGGAAATGTGCTTGTAATGTAGAGCAAACCCAACAATGAATTATTTAATTCAGATATACTGTCAGTGATTTGTGTCTGTGCACATAGTGTCTGTGCTATGTAATGTCAGAAAATAACAAGTTTTTTTAAAAATCCCTACCTACTGGCCATGTTCCATTCAAGTGCTGGATTTTGAGAATTTCTCTCACTTTCTGTCAAAACTCCTCCTTTTCCATTTTCTTTCTCTGGTTTCAACTGATTCCAATAAGCAGTGCCAATGTTGATAGATTGAAGATCTATTTGATATTGTCTGTCTTCAACCTCTGATCCAGGGTCTCGAAGTATTCCTAGATTTAGTGCTCTCCTGTAATACCAAAGAAAAAGGAAAAATAATCAGCATAGGCCAAAATCAGACCAATCAGATATTCATTAAGACACAAATTTAATATGTCATTTTTGCCACTCTTGCCTCCATCGAATCATTATTTTCATTCCAGATCTTCAGAAACAGCCAGCTGCCTATTTCCTATGGAATTCAATGTGAAATATGCAAATGGGTATATTCCTAAATTTAGCCAGATCCACCAAAGTTGATATAAGTCTTCACTGCACTCCCAAAAATCAGGTCCATATGAGTAGCCTTATGGGGAAGCAGGACTGATTCATATCTACTGAATAGATAAAGGATGTCACATCAAGTCCTCAAAAAGAACACCTATGTATCAGTATAACCCAGAAAATCATTATGACACAATCTTCCCAGTGTTCAAACTTATCACAGAATAAAAATTAAAAAGAATATTGCAAGATGATGGGAAAAAAATCCTTTTAATTAATAATTTAATCCATGGAATTTCAGTATAGTGCTTTTTTAATTAAAATGCTTCTGAAAAGTGAGGAAAAAAGCATTTTTGAGTGAACCACATTCCTTGTGGATTCTTCCAAATTCTACCATATTCAATTTTACAGAATATTTCAATCTTGAGCTGAGTTTTGGAAACAGTCAGACTCAACTTCAAGAGCTATTAGATAAGGGGGGCCTGCTGAGACCATTCAGTTTTATCAGTAACCAGTATCAGAGGAGTATTCTACTACATTTATCTTCTGCTAATAAGCACTAGGAAATATTAAAAAAATCTACCTTGCCCTTTGTACACTGGGAACAATACAGCTTTTTGAGCACTGCTCACTTAATACTATAATAAAAATTCACAATTAAATTTATCAGTGCATTTCAAAACAAGCCAGTAAAGGGAGCAATTAATTATGATCATAAATTTTAGTCTATTTTTATTGATTTCATACATCTACTTTAAAGCTTAAGCTTCTTATTTACATATGACATCCAATCAAATGTTCTGTTCTAGGTTGCTGTCTTATGCCAGAATTATTTAATACATAGCTGCTGTCTTCACAAAGAACTTCATAATTCTGCAATCTGTTTAATCGTTGATGTTAATAACAAAGGATTAAATAATAAATAATAAATATAAAATAAGGATTAAAGCAGCACATCCCCAACTGTGATGTACACACTGTATGCAGTCTGTAAGTATAGGTATGCAACCTGTTTCAAAGTGCAATCCAAATGCTGGTCAAATCTAAACACAGTTGAAACTGCTCATACACTGCCATTGTCACCAACAGAGTATGTCAGCAATTAAGAAAATTAAGTAATTAATCTTATGTACCCACAGAGGCATGTGGATGACAGGAAAGCCATTTTGATCAAGTCATTCCTGGTGAGGCAATGTGATGGCACTATTCAGTAGCCCCTATAACTTTCTTAAACGCTTAGTAGAAATACACTGAAAATCTGTTATGTCAGTAGTGGTATTTCAAAATTAAATGTGGTTTCTTAAAACTCAAGAATGTGTTTGTCAACTTTCCACATAGAGAGATCTAACCACAAAAACTGTGCCTTTTATTATTCTTTCTAAGGCATTATTTCACCAGTATGAATGCAGTTCTTTTAAAAAAACACCACAGCAGATTATTGTATGACCCAGTGCCTATTTACATACTTTGTCTAATACAAGTAAATACTGAAATGTACGTTTTGTGAAATATTACTGAAAAAAAAGCATCAAATTACATATTTTAGGAAATTTGCTTATGTATATAAAACAGAATATGATACTAATTTCACCTGCATAATGGATTCTTCTCTCCTGTACTTCATAGTGAAGAACATTTTTTATTTCTTCTTTTATGAGCAGCTTGATAAGTTCTGTTAAAATCACCTAAAACTATATCCCTTAGGCTAATTCAGCACAATTGTGATCTTGTAAACCAAATTCCTTAAGAAAATGTATCTGTATGCACCAATCTGAAACTCCCATTGCGACAATGGCTTTCATCCCCTCACCAGTTTATTTATTTAAACATAAACCACAACAAAATCACCCTTTGACACAAATTTTTAGGTGCAGGAAAATACATAGGGGTATTATTTAAACACAAGGTCCTGGTGCATTTAATTGGTGGTATAACATTTGTCTCAAATCTTCGTTCGCGAAGCCTAGCCATGATAACATTTGTCCAGTATATCTTTTTTTTGTTCTCCTTTGGGATGTTACAGCCTAATACTTTGACATAACAATTCACATTTTCATTCTGTTCCTACTATTAACAATCTCCTATATATAATACAAAACTCTTCTTCTGACCCATTAGATCACTTTTGATATCCAAGCAAACAAACTGTTTCTATAGATGACCCATTTCAAGAAACACCTATTTTACACACAGATGTACGATATAAGGATTAGTTATTAATGCCTTGATTTTTTGACTAACTTACTATTGCTTTCAGAAAGTACACCATGTCAGTTTTATATACAAGATAAAAAAATAACCTTTTCCCAAATAGGCAATATACATACAGGCTTTTATATAAGCATTAATTTCTGGTTTCCCATATCAACAAATTTATGTACAGGCATTTACATAAGCACTCATTCCTGCTTTTCCATATCAACAATTTTCCTAAGTATGCTTCCAATTTATTAGTTGTATACTTCCTAGAAGGATGAGAGCTAAACTGTAGCAAAAGTGGCTTAATCTTAAGCATACATGCTTTGTATAAACCCTGCAGCCTTCTTGATTCTGCAGCTTTTGAAATCCTTGTAGCAAATAAAATCAGGAAAACAGAGTAAGTCAAATTAATGACTTCTGTACCTCTAGCATAAACGATGTTTTACCAGCTGAAATTTACTGTCGGGGTTATGATTTTAAGTGCTTCCCTCTTCTGAAAACAACTTCACTATCCCATCTGAACCTTTTGGCAGGTGGTGCAGAATACAACAGTTGGTAAATAATACAGCAAGATCATAAGCAACCAAAGACAATCCTAAGCATGTAACAGGAAACACAGCGTTAAAGTTTTTCTTTTTTAAAATTGATTTAGTCTGGGTCAGGCTTTTTGTATGTTTATTGAAGAGGCAGCTCATGTTGAACCAGTTAATACAAGCTGCTGAATAGGCATAATTCTGAGACCCATTGTAAAGAAGCAAAATCTATTCACTTACAGCTCAGCTGAGGCCTACAAAAAGCTAAACAAGCCAGGAAAATGGCATTTAAAGACTACACATTATGTTACAATTAAGAAATATTCACAGACTTTACACACAGCAGTTAATTTTTGTTAGCGCTTATTAGAACTCTGTGTGCACTGATTTCTGCTTCCAGGTACAAAGAAGACAAACCTTTCTATCCAAATTTCAATTATTAAAGGTTTTTTCTGGTGTTAAGAGATCCTCCCTATTCTAACTTAAAAAGGAAACAAACGGAGTCCTGAAGAGGAGATACAAGGACTGCCTGAAACAATCCCTCAGCCTTGGCCATATTGATCACCACCATTGGTCTACCCTGGCCTCCAATCGGGAGGCCTGGAAACACAACATCTATAACGCTGCTGCTGCTTTTGAGAACACACACAGGATCACTCTCAAGGAGAAAAGACAGCGCAGAAAGAATCATGTCTCGTCGATATCACCTGGGGAGTCTTTCTGCTGTACGTTCTGCAACCGGACTTGTCTATCTCGCATTGGCCTTTTTATCCATCAGCGCGCTTGTAGCAAGCGTGGGTAGAGCCCTTCTCAAATCTTCGTTCACGAAGCCTAGCCATGATGATGATGATTTTATAGAGGTGTGGCCTGTATGCAAGAGGACCCCTTCCTCTTCTGCTTAGGCTTGTAGAGTCCCAGCCTAAATGTAGTCTTAAAGCCCCTTAGCTATGCATGAGATGTAACTGGATACTGTAGAAATCACAGTAATATTTATCCCTGACCTAATGCACCTTAACTGCCTTTTTCCAAATTCAATAAAGTTTCCTCCTCGATAAGGCCATCAAATGTCTTTTACCAAACAGGGAAAACTGAAGCAAGTGTTTATGGATGCAATGGACTCCACCTGGAATGAGATGCTATAGATGTTAAGAAGGGCACGGAACAAAAATTTAGTAAACCTAGAGAAGCTATGACAACTACACTGGCTTTTGAAAATGCTAAGCTCCTATAAGTAAAATCTCAGACAGGAATCAGCTTTTCAAAGACAGACAAGTAGTCTTTTTTTTTTTTTTTTTGAAATCACAGCAAATAGATGCCTTTTTGTCACACACAAAGAAATTAATGCTTGAGCTACTGTGAGAGAAACAGAGCTTTCCCATATTCACATGAATATTTCCCATATTCACATAACATATATAGACGTGACCTTAAAACTAGAATAAAAAAATCCTGTAGCTAGACTTTTCATGATGGAAGTCTTGGATGTGCCTAAATTTGGATATAATAAACCTACTTTTTTTGTGAGGAAGATGAAAAGAAGAATGAGAAGTGAAGCAGAAAAAAAGGGGAGAAGAATTACTGGATTGAGGCACTGAAGCTGAAATTAAAGAAAAGCAGCAGGTAAGAAAATTTTAATACTGTAAGAAGAGAGGAGGAGACATCCTTAGGCAATTAGAGAAGGTCCTGACAAATTTCTAATATTTTGTACATTGTCCTGGGTACACATTCTGCCATACTGAGTGATATACATCTCTTCCAAGAGAAGTGTAACCTCAGGTTTCTAACCCTGCCATCTGTCCATACGGAGACTCATTTGTGGTTTAACAAACTGTGTTTTGTGACTGCCAGAATGCTGGAAACCGCTTACTTTAGTCTGGGTCACTAGAGCAGGTTTTTAAATGCCATCAGCAGTAAACTCCAAATCTTGCAGTTTCTGCCTCTTTTCCACAGGAACTATGCCACAAATGACTGGCTTTGTTGGCAGCTGCTCCTTCTCCCCTCTCCAGCTCAGCCTCAGAATAACTCAACTACTGTCCCATCTCCACATTTGCTGGCTCACACTCTGGATCGGATA